TGACGTTTTGATCCAACATCTCGACTTAGAGCTGGCGCGACGCGCGAACCGTGCCAAGGCGGAGCGCATCAAGATATGGGCCGAGGGCGTCCGTGAGCCAAGCGGGCGAAAGGCGGCCATATACGCACGAGCTGCTGATAGCTCGCCCACGGCGTACCTCCGCACGCCTACCACTCCCGACGATACAAAACTCCACTGCGACACCAACGCCTTCAAACCTGATGAAGCCTACACGGACGACAGTGACGCTGACACCGAAGCTGGCGGCTTCAGCCCCGGCGACGGTAGTTCGCCCGTCACGGACAGCGACGAAGATCGCCCCCGTGAACCACCACCTGCGCAAGTCCCCGACATCCTACCTGCCAACGCCATTGTTGCTAACATCAAGGACATGCTGAAGCTCATGGTCGACACCTGGGAGCCCATCTTGGGCAGGTACCGCGCACGTGCGGGACATGATGCCGAAGCCATGCCGACGTGGGCCGACTTCTACGACGAGTACCGACAGGAGCTGCCTACGCCATCACCAGCCACCCCTTTCCACCTCACCGACGACCAACTCATCCACTTCATTCGCACCCGTTCACCGAGACGCGCGGGGGGTCTGGACGGTTGGACTACTAAGGAGGCAAAGGAGCTTCCCGACGACATTCTCCGCCTCTTCGCCAGCGTTCTACGAGCTATGCAACGCACTGGCACCATCCCAGAACCCCTCCTCCACGTCCCAAACCCGTGCCTCCGAAAAGGCCGAGGCGAACTCCCAACGGACCAACGACTTCTTTCGGTGCTTTCCGTTTGGATGTACGCGTGGGAAGCACCAGCTTACCGCAGCCTCACGGACTGGCGGAAAGGATGGACCCACGCCACGAGTTTTGGCGCTGTCCCCAAAGCTACCATTGGGGACGTCAGCACTTCTCTCGCCCTTCGCATCGAACACGCCAGAGCCCTTCTCCTTCCCTTGGCTGGAGCTGCCCTGGACCGTCAGAAGTGTTTCGACTATCTCATCACGGACATATGCCTTAACCTCGCGCTTCACGCGGGGTGTCCCCAAGACATCGTTACTGTCCGCAGAAACTTCTACAGGCGCCACAAACGTTACATCCGCATGAACGGCGCGTACTCTAAGGAACTGGCCAGGACAAACGGTCACCTCCAGGGAAGCTCTTGGTCCCTGGACGACATTAAGCTGCTCATGTGCGTCTGGACCAAGAGACAGCATCGTTACGTGCCGCGGTCTCTCAGCACTACCTTTGTTGACGACAGCAACTCCACTACCCACACCGCGCCCGAGTTGCAGAAATCTCTTGATGAAACCGCCAAGTTTGATCGATTTTCTGGTCAACGCATCCATCCTGGAAAAGTGGCGGGGTGGGCGCTTACTGACGAGCTTCGCACCGCCGTTACCCAGCTTACCTTGGCGGAACGGCCCCTACGCGTGGTCGACTCCTTCAAGCTCGTCGGAAGCTACATCAACGCCGAGGCAGCGCCGGCTCCAGCCGCGCTCAACCTCACGGCCACCGCTGACGCCCGTGTTCGCAGGGCGACTAGTCGCCTGCCGCGTATTGGCAAGCTCCCATCTCCGATGCGTATTAAGGCGCGGCACGCCCGCTCCCTTGCTGCCAGCGTCTGTACCACGGGCACTGACATCCAAGCCCCATCAGGCCCCGTCAAAACTGCCTACAACCATGCCCTTAAGGCGGCTATCCGCCCCAAGGGAAACAGGTGGGTCGAGTTTTGGACTCTCATGGCCGTGTGCGTCCCAGGGCACGCCCTGGAGATTGACGCCATTATGCAGCGTGAAGTCTTCCTGTGCCTGCGGCGACAGGTCAACCGCGACGCCACTCTCTGCGGCCTCGTCAGGGATCTCCAACACCATGTCCAGACCCTTTTTTGGCGGAGGACCTGTTGGACGACTTGTTCAGACGCTTCAGCAGCTCCGTTGGACTTGGCCCACATTTGGCACCATGTACGACGACTGGGGCTGTCAGATCAGTTGGCTGAACCTCCCCCAAAACGCCTTCCTTCACATGCTGCGCGCCTCGCAACGCAGAGCCTTTCTGAGAAAAATCAAGCCACGGCGTCATGACCTTGGACACCTGGCTTCGGTCAGACAGGGCCTCGACCTTTTCGCCAGCACGTGGCTCGCCCGCACCAAAGGAGCTGCCAAATGCAACGCATGGCAGCTGGCGCTCCTCTTAAACTACCTGTCGGGCGGGGACCACACCCAACAGCGACGTTCTCGATCAAATACGTCCGCTGATCCCAGCCCTATTTGCCGTTACTGTGATGAGGAAGAGGAAACTCAGGAGCACACTGTGCGTGACTGCAAGTGCTGGGCCCGTGAAAGAGTCCCTCTCACCACCCTCATCAGTGACGAGCAGTGGGCCCGTCTTCCTCCGCACACAAGACATTGCGGGCTCTTCGATGAGGACCCAGCTCTCCTCGATTTGCAAGCCGACCTCGCGAGGGACCCGCTACCTCAACCCATACCGCGGCCTCCGCCTGAGGGAGATCCTGCGGCTTCAGCCCAGGACTCCTACACCACCTACCTTGACCACGACACTGGTTGGACATGGGTCTACGCTGCCACGGACGGTGCATGCACCAACCAAGCCATCCCTTTGCTTGCAAGAGCGGGCTACGGCGTCTACTACGGCATCGACCACCGCATGAACTACAGTGCGCGCGTTCACGGCATCACGCAGAACGCACAGCTTGCGGAGACCCTCGCCATTGTCCACCTCACGGCATGTGCTGAACGGCCCGTACACGTCTTCGTGGACAACCAGGCGGTGGTCGACGGCTTCCAAAGGATCATCGACGGACACTCACCTCTGCAGGGCACGCACGGGGAGTTCTGGGAAAAGGTCCACCGATGTGTCATGGCCAAGCCAAACATGTTCCGCGTTGAGAAAGTCGCTAGCCACCAGGGCGACATGGGCATCGACCTCGGGCTCATCGGGCCCATCGCGGAGGAGTTCAATCGTCAGGCCGACGCCCTCGCCACAGCGGCGGCACGTACTCATAACCTTCCAGACGACATTGTTGAAGCTGCCAAAGCACGACACCGCCAAGCGACCGTGCTCCATGGAGTCGCCGTTGCCATCTACGAGCGGAGACATCGCACACTTCCTCTCCCACACCGCAGGGCTGGGTTCACAGCGGCAGAACTAAACAAAATGGAACCAAATCCCCTGCTGTCTGACCAGGCTCCACCCGTGGCTGGACCAGACATCCCACAAAACCCCGACGAGCTCTGGGCCGAGGCCCAACGGGTGTTATTCGACGAACAGGAGGACGACCCGTTCGGCTTTGGCGGAGGTTTGGACTTCCTGGGCGACGAGGCAGCCAGCGCAAACCCCGCCTCGGCGGGCACCCGCACGGCGCCCCCGACATCGCCATTGAGTGCGTCAGCCCACCCACATGACAACGCCGTTCCCTTTCAAGACGGTGGGGGATCGGACGCTTTGGACGACGGATCAGCCAACGAAGACCTCGTCCCGTCGGGAAACCTCGCAAACCCTACTGCGACGCCGTCCCCAAGAGCGTTAACGCCCACATACGACGACATCGGTCACCGCCAAGACGCCGACCACGACCCGGGTGCCCCCCGAGGATTGGGTGGCATTGAGGATGCACCGCCGACATCACACGCTGCAAACCATGCCGCCCCACCGAGTCACCAACCCTCTACGCGACCGACCTCAGCGGCCTTGCACGGCACCACGACTGGTCCCACCGCGCATACCACCCCCCCTCTCCATCGTCAGCGACTCGCGGGGGCGGCTTCAGCCCCCCCGCAGGGTACTAAACCAGACAGGCCCTCGTGCCCCACCCACGCTCCCGCCGTTGTTGAGCGTGAGGAAGCGGTTCCCCTGACCTCTCGGGGCGCGGCCCTAGCGGCTCCAGCCCTGGGGTCGCGCCGGCCCCCCCAGTCACCTCTTGAAGGTGACGGACGTCAGCGTTCAGGGTCCCGCACGCCGCTAGCCCACCTGGACAGGCGTACCGAGGACCTCGCCTCTGTCTCAAGATTCTCGGAGGATGTCACTGAGCAGCCGTCTCTCACTGACCGTGAAGCTGAGCTGTCACAGGCTATGGCTGCCCTTCAGCAGAGGTGCTTAGCTCTCGCCGCTGACCTCGCTGCTGCCCAAGCTCGTCAAGGTCCTCTACTCCAGCGCCTGCACAGCGCGGGGCGAGCCTTCGCCGAGCTGCTCACGTCCTCGCCCGATGGTGTTGTGCCGTCACTCAACATCCAAGCTATGTTGTCATCGTTCCGCGGCGCTCCACCTGGTGCCCCGCGTTGATCTCCTCCTTTCTGCCTGCCCGTGTGTACGTGTGGCTCCACGTCCACGGTGTCAGGGCGTGGGGGCGGGGGGTGCCCCGTCACTGCGCGCCGCCTAGCGGCCAAGCGCCCAACTGGCGGTCCGCCAAGCCGCCTAGCCACGTGCCAGCACGTCGCCTTTCTTGTTGGGGCCTTCTACTTCACGCGGTCTGTCAGGTGAGATCTTCATCGTCTGTCCGCCGTCTGTAGCGTCAGTCGCACTGCGCCGGGGGAGGGGGTTTTGTAGCCCGCCCTCGTATCCTAAGGCTGCACCGCCGCAAATAGTGCATGCGAGTTGTCGCACCGCAGTGCGCCTCGCGGACGGACCCTGGTCCGCCTACTTGTCCGATCTCTCTCTCTTTCTCTCTCTCTCTCTCTCTCTCTCTCTTTCTCTTTTTTTTTCTCTCTCTCTCTCTCTCTCTCTATATATATATATACACACACATACCTTTTCACTCCTCGTCGCCCTCTCTCTTTCTCTCTCTATATCTCTTCCTCTCTTTCATACCCCTGCTATCTATCCCTTCTTTCGCCTTGCTCGACCTTTCCCCTCCTCCGATTTTGCCCCCCCCCCCCCCGCCCCCCCCCACCGCACCACCGCCCCCCTTTTCTCTCGACGCCTGCCGATTTGGAGGGGGGGCGGCTGGCATGAGCAGAACCTCAGGCGTCGCCGCCTGTCCTTGTGAAGCCGCAGCGCGAACGCATACACCAGCTCGATGGACTCGCCTCGGAAGAGCTCCATCCAGTCCACCAACAAGCCGCACGATGTCACTGCTGTCACGACGCCGCCAGTGCAACGTCTGACTCTGTTGCTTCCGTGGAGTTTGTCAACGCCGCACGCCTGGATGGATTCCTCCTGCTTGTCGTCCAGGGCTAGCCACCCCCTGCAGCGGCTACTCAATGAGCGGAACTTGCTGGCGTCGCTGCTCACGTCGGCCGCCGCCGGCCGCTTCGTCGACTTGGCGTGAGCTGACTGCCTCGGCGCTGTGGCGGCCGGGCCTCTGCCGACGCCAGCTCTTCTTACTCGGCGCGAAGTGCCCGCAGCCTTGCCCCGCTTGCTCGCTGCCCCGCCAGTCGTCGGGGCTCGAACCTTAGCAGCGGGTCCGCGCTGAGCCTCCTTGCCTCCTCTCTGGGCGTCTGCGCCACGACTCGCCCCGACCGAGCTGGGCGGCCCGCAAGCCGACGACTGCTTCGTCAGCCAGCGCGAAAGTTGCCGGGCCCCCTTCATCCACGCGGGGCGTGTCTTCTTGTTGCCGTGGTCCCCTCTGTTCCGAAGCAGCGACTTCTCGAATTCCGCCAACAGTTCCTTGTGCACCTGGGCTCGCGGTAAGTGCGCCTCGAAGGGCCGCTCGGGCAAGTCGGGGTCGTGACATCGCACCACGTAGCGCAGCGCTGAGTCGCCGCTGGACGCCGATCCGGGAGCAGCGATCCCCAAGATCTTCTCCTGGGGGATCATATGCGCTTGCTCTATGGTCGACGGCCGGCACCATTTACAGAAGAACTGCGTCGTTGGGGCATTTCATTGGCAGCCTGTGTACAGCTCCAGTTCCAGACCCTGCATGGGTTCATACCCCTCCAAACCGCCGCAAATGAATCGACGGGCGCCGTGCTTGCCATCAAGCAAAACGACAAGCTTGCCGACGCATTTCGGACACGTCCGCACGTGTTCTGCGACACGCGTTAAGTGCGCCTGACGCACACATGCCGCGATGCTCGTAAGGCCGCTTTCTATGCCGTCTGGCGTAAACGACCACCCAATGCCCCTAGCGCCGGCACCTGCCAAACGGATGGCGTTGTGCAAGTACCACGCGTCCTCCAGACGCACACGCGTGTGGCACGTCTGTGTCATATCCTCGCCCAGAATGAGGTTTTGCTGCGCCTGCTCAGGATGCTTACCCGCCCACACGTGGATTGCGGAGGTGAACGTGCCGCCGCTATGGTGCAAGTCATCAGTGATGAACTGCAGCAGCTGTAGGTCGACAGCGTACCATGCTTTCTCACGGGGCACCACAACATATGGCAAAGCAGTTTGCGTGACCACGGTGGTGATATCAGTCATCTTGCCGAAATTTGCACGACCGCCGCTGCCTGCATTTTTCTTGTATTTCCAATTGCCAATGAAATAATACTTGCAGGACGGGCAGTACTCCTCACGGAAAGTGCAGAATTGAACACCTGCTCCGAGAGTGTACACTCGGAAACGAAACTCGCACGACCTGGCATCTGCGTTCCCTTCTTTCCAATTTGCCGCAATGCTGCCTCTGCTTCTGCCTGTCTGCTTCACCAGCTCCGTTGTTTGACATTCTGGGCACCACCCGTGTGTAGATGGGAGACATACTGTCTCCGATTCTAGGCACGCAGCTTGCATCTCCTTCAACACTGGGTTGTTCAGGTCGTAGTCGTAAGCACATCCAACTCCAACATGCGATCGCAGCTTCCACAAAACACTATTGATAATGTTCTCTCTGGCTTCAACGTTGTGGTTCTGGCGCAAACAAGCCTTCACAAATGGCGGGGCCAACTCCCTCGGCACGCACGACAAGACGCGTGCCAGGACTTCAAACGCAGCCGTTGGTAGCGGGTGCATCAACGTTCTGAAAGAGAAGTCCACCCCGGCGTCACTTGCCATATCCGCTATTCGCACGGGCTCTGGACGTAGGTAGCGAAACCTCGGCGCGCGTGCGCAGGCCAAGACTTGATCAGTAACGTGGCGGCCACAGGGCGTATCTTATGGGAGCAGCGACGATGATGCTGATGTTCAAAAAGATGGTGATGTATTGCTTACGAAGATGACGATAACACCGGTGATGATGATGGCAGTGATGATGATGTTGTTGGGGGTGATGATGGTGATCTTGATGCTGAGATCGACGATACTGGTGGTGTTCACAGGTCGCACAAGTCCAGCAGGCCCCACGGGTCCCACAGGTCCCGCAAGTCTCATTGGTCCCACAGGTCCATCAGGTCCTACAAGCATCACTGGTCCGGCAGGCCCCACGGGTCCCACAAGTCCAGCAAGTCCCACAGGTCCGGCAGAGCCCACGGGTCCCACAGGTCCGGCAGGTCCCACAGGTATCACAGGTCAGGCAGGTCCCACAGGTCCAGCTCGTCCGTGCCAAGTCGAACCGGAGAATGCCTGAAGCAAAAACTCCAGGAAACCCCAGGGAACCCTGGGGAACCTCGCATCCCCGGGGGGGCCCCGGCTCCGTCCTCGCAGTTTCTTTTGCGATCTCCGGCGGCGAAGGTAGGGTGAGGGAGGGGCCGGGTCAGAGAGCGCAGCCCGTATGATGACGAGGACGACGTTTTCTCCTCCTGTGGCGGCGGCCGCGCTTTCGGCCGGCCACGCTGGCGTCCCGGGGGGGGGGGCGGGAGGAAGGGGGAGGGAGGGGGGGGCGGAGCGGGAAAAGGCTCGGGAAAGAGGGAGCGGGTGGAGGGAAGGAACAGGCTCGGGAGGAAAGGATCCGATTCTGGAGGGGGCGGGACCAGTTTAAAAACTTAATTTCTTAATTGGGGCAAGGGGGCCAACACACACACACACATACACATACACATACACATACACATACACATACACAACACATACACATACACATACACAACACACACACACACAACACACACACACACACGCACGCACGCACGCACGCACGCACGCACGCACGCACGCACGCACGCACGCACGCACGCACGCACGCACACACACACACACACACACACAATGATCGGGAAAAGAGGAGGCAGGAGGGAGGGAGGGAGGGAAGAGGGCGGGAGGGAAGAAAGAAGTGGAAGGAGGAGGGGGGAGACAGGGGGGAGGAGGGAGGGAGGAGGGAGGACAGAGGACAGAGGAGGGAGGAGGAGGAGGGAGGAGGGCGGGAGGGCGGAGTGAGGAGGGGAGGGAAGGAGGGAGGAGGGAGGGAGGGAGGAAGGAAGGGGGGGGGAGACAGGAGGGGGGAGAGAGGAGGGCGCGCCGGACCCGACCAACAGGACAGGAGGAAGTGGGAGGTACGGCGGGGAGGAGAGGAGGAGGAGGAGGAGGAGGAGGAGGAGGAGGAGAGGAGGAGGAGGAGGAGGAGGAGGAGGAGGAGGAGGAGGAGGAGGAGGAGGAGGAGGCGGGGGAGGAGGAGGAGGAGGTGGGAGGGGAGGGGGCGGGGGGCGACGGGCAAATAATATTTACGTGGCAGAGGGGGGAGCGGGAGGAGCAAGGGGGAGGGAGGGACAGAGCAGGAAGAGGCTCGGGAAGGAGGGGGCGGGTGGAGGGAGGGAACAGGCTCGGGAGGAAGGGGTCCGATTCTGGAGGGGGCGGCAACGACTTAACAACTTAATTTCTTAATTGGGGCAAGGGGGGCAAACAAACAATTATCGGGACAAGAAAAACACGACGAGGCAAATCATTGCGTTGGTGAGGGGGGAGAGCAGGCGGAGGGAGGAGGAGGAGGAGGAGGAGGAGGACAAGTTAGGTGCGCTCGCGTCAACATCTGACATCGCACCCCTCCCTCCAATTACCATAGCGCTGATTTTCTCTATCCGCGGACGCGTGTCGTAGCGGACCTGTGGCTCCGCGCGCGTGTGCGTAGTGGGTGGTGGTGCGCGTGCGTGCGTGCGTGTGTGCGTGGTTGTGGTTGTTGTGGTGGTGGTGGTGGTGGTGGTGTGTATGTGTGTGTGCGCGTGTGCGCGTGTGTTGTGGTGTGACGTGGTGTGGCGTCTTGGTGGTTCGGTGGTGGGCCAGGTGCGTACGTGCGTGATGGCGGTGGTGGTGGTGGTGGTGGTGGTGGTGGCGGTGGTGGTGTGTGTGTGTGTGTGTGTGTGTGTGTGTGTGTGTGTGTGTGTGTGTGTGTGTGTGTGTGTGTGTGTGTGTGTGTGTGTCTGTGTGCGTATGCGTGTGCGTGTGTATGTGTGTGCGTGTGTGCGTGCGTGCGTGCGTGCGTGCGTGCGTGCGCGCGTGCGTGCGTGCGTGCGCGCGTGCGCGTGCGTCTGTGTGCGCGCGCGTGTGATGTGGCGTGACGCGGCGTAGCGTGGTGGTGGTGGGTGGGGTAGTGCGGTGGTGGTGGCGGTGCGCGGTGGTGGTGCGCGTGCGTGCGTGCGCGCGCGCGGTGGGTGGAAGTGGCGGTGGGCGCGCATGCGGCGGGGCGGGGCGCGGTGCGGCGCGGCGGTGGCGGGCGGATGGGCGCGCGAGAAAGAAGCCCGCGCTGGGGCGAGAACGCCATCCTGAACGACGGAGGCAAAACACCGATCCGTAAATGAGGCCCACGCTGCAGCGGGAGCACGATTCGGAACGATTCGGGGGCAGAAATGAGGCCGGCGCCTCAGCGAGAGCAGCATTTTGAACCAAAAACGCAGGCGAAAACCCAACTCCCGGGAATCCTGTGTGCAAAAAAAACATTACGCGGGGGGGGTCGAAAATTCCCAGGGCGCCATCAGGGGAAGAGGGAGAGTAGTATTCGTATTGAGTAATTGTGGAGGGGGAGGAAGGAGGAGGGCGGAGGCAGGAGGAAAGAAATGAGGCTGGAGGGAGGGAGGGAGGAAGGAGGAGGGAGGGGGGAGGGAGGAAGGAGAAGGGGGGAAGGAGGAGAGAGGAAGAAGGACGGAGGAGGGAGGGGGGAGGAGAAAGGGAGGGAGGAGAGAAGAAGGAGGGAAGAGGACGGAGGGAGAAGGGAGGGAGGGAGGGAGGGAGGGGGAAGGGGAGGGGGGAGGGAGGGAGGGAGGGAGGGGGGGGGAGGGGAGGGAGGAGAGCGGAGGGGCGAGGTGGAAGGAGGAGGACGCGCAGGACCGGGCCAACCGGACCAACGGGGCGCTCACTCGTCGTCAGAGTCGTCCGAGTACTGGGGGCAGTCGGGGCTTTGGCAGCTCTCCCAGAACAAGCGCAGCTTGGCGTTCTCTTCCAAGAGCCCCTTGTTCCACTGTCGGGGGAACCAACCATGCGCGCGAATGCCCTATCCCATCTGAACCGGGGCCACCGCCATCGTGTTCATCATTGTCATCGTCATCATCATCGTCCTCCTCCTCATCATCGTCCGTAGCCACGCTGGCTCAAGGCCGACAAGGTTTCCAATGACCACGAGTCCACGTGGCGCGCCGAACGGTAGGACCGCTCACTCCTGCTGGCGCCTCCGCGCCGATGGTCTCTTAGCAACTCAAGGTTATCGCTATGATTTTTGACAGACAACATGCGCTTGTGACAGGGTGTTCTTTATCAAAGCAGCGCCTGCGAGGCACTGCGGGTCCCGTTCCAGCATGGCTTGGCTGGTGGTCCAAACTCCAAACGTTTCGCGTTTCCCGCCCGGGGTTGTTTAGGTTTCCGTGTATGGTTGGTGCCCCCCAACCAGCCTCGTCCACGCCCTCGAGCTCCTTCAGGCGGCGGGTCAAGGACTCCACCTTCGCCTCCGCCGCCGTCGCCCTTGCCAGCGCCGCGGTCAGCGCCTCCTTTCGCTCCTGCTTCTCCGTCTGCTCGTGGTCGTCCTCGCTGGAGT